TCATTCAGAAGATTTCAGTTTCTCACAATGAAGCTGATCGCAAGAGGTTAAGAGAGAGGAGAAATTCGAGAGTAACGGGCTCAGTGTGTAAGTTGTCAGCCAAGCCATGTAAACGGAAGGGGATCTGCATGTCACCGGGAACGCTTTGGTGCCAAAAAAGATGATCCCAATACTTCATCCCCAACACATCTGCTTGACTGCTGAGCACCTGCTCTCCATTTCTTGGGGCAGGGGATGGGAAGAAAGGTGGGGAAACCCCCAAAAACCAAAGAAAGCAATCCTGTAAACATTATCAGACTTTACTACCTAACGGAAACAAGATTCAAGTAATCGCTGCAGAAAACAAACAGCCAAACGCCAGTTTTAATCAGCACTAAAACTAACAACTTGCAGCTTCATTACATTTCCTGACAGTTACGTAATTAAGAAAAATGCATATAAAAGGCTGTCTATATATACAAAACAAATTGATAGAAATGAGTGTAGTAAATGTGTTCAGTATTAAAACAAATCACTTCATATGCAGCTGCTCTCTTTGGTGCCATTTAGGGAGAGAAGAGCCTTGATGTTGGTATTTTTTAGGTCCTGTGAAAGATATGTTCCTGCTCTGCACTTAGAATTAAAGTAGCTGCTACTCAGAACCTCTGCAAACGCATACTTGAATCCCCCAATTATGTACAATTTTAGAGGGTTTCCTCAGAGAACATCATATACTATGAAACTCAAAGTTGTTTTTTGGTTTTGTTTTGTAATAAATATGGTTAGTCAAGTGCTCCAGATCTAGGCAGATCTGGTTAATTTATGTCAGAGTCAATGCATCTATTGATAAATCTGCCAGGCGCTAATGCTGCTGCAGACGCTGCTCTTTTTTCCCTCCTCTTGGGGCTCTGCTGAGCTACAACTGGAGCGTACTTCAGATGGATCAAGTTCTTTGAGTGGATATGGAATGGTATTGAACTTAACCAAACCCTCCAACCCCCCCAAATACTACTCACAATACAGAAGAGCCGCACAAGATCAAATGAGGGAAGAAAAAGTACCTGAAAGTACCTGCAGGCATTTAGCATTCTGGAGAACGGGATCAGTTTCTAAGAACAGCATACCAAAAGTAGCTGGGTCCCCGCAAATTCCACACTCAAGGGCCAGCTTTAACAAAAATGTTACCATAATTTCTACTCAAATCTCTAAAAATAAAAGTGCCTAAACTCCCTCTAAAATAACCCTCTAAATATTTAAAGTGGAACTTTTCAGTCAAAGGCTTACGATGCTCTGACTTGTGACACTGCAATCTCAGGATTGTAGGAAAATTGGTTATGAGAGAAACCTACACCTCTTCCTGCCTCCTTCCCATGACATGCCTTCGGTAGGAGCAGCAATGACGTGTACATTGTACGGTCTGCGAATAAATCGTCATTAAGAAAAAAATAGTATTAGCTGTGTTGTTTTAAGTATTCCTTCCTGTTTATGGATCTCCTTGCCTCATCTTCACAGGGACAGGTTTATCATCTCAAGGCATTTCAGAAATCTCGAGAAATCACGCTGAAATCTTGCCCTACCTCAGGCTTCTGTCTCACACTGGGAGTTTAATGTCATTTTGTGTGCATGGCTCGTGTGTGTATGTGGATTTTTTTAAAAGAAAAAAGCAGTAAGAAATACTAAAGCATAGTTTCCAACTCCAGCCAATGGCAACTATCCTACAGTAACTACAATACTATTTACGGTTTGCAATAGTAATCATCTTGATGGATCCAAAAGGTTATTTTTAGTGACAATCCAGGTATTTTCAAGACTGACTGATACAGGGTAGGTTAAAGCACCAAACGAGCACGTGCAACACCACCCAGCACCCTCAAGAGTTGTTTTCCCAGGATCCATCTCCCTCCTGGCCTCCTGAACAGGTAGGGCTGCTCTTCTCGCTGAATTCACTGAAGTTTTCTGCTTTTCAGTGCATGGGCCAAGAGGACCAATTTCCTGGAGCACCCCTACAGCCCCCCTGCCTCTGCTGGCATTGATACCTAAGCGTGCTTGCAACGCCACAGCCAAACAGCTGCTTGTCCTCACCAACTTTTAAATCCTGGCTCGGTCCCTCATTTTGCCTATCCTACTCTTTGATACAGCACAGAGCGCCCTTGCTTATGGCTAGGGAGCTGTCAGGACAGAACTCTGAAGGACGGAACAGAAGACGTCCTGCCACCTTGGGCATGATACCTCCTCCACAGCCAGGGCCTGCTGGGAAAACGTGACCCCCCATCCCACTCACTGCTGGGACCTTGGAGCTCACCAATACGCTTCCCTTAGAGAACTGAATTCTTTGATACCAGTCTGGGGTTTCTCTTAGTAACCAGTTCCCTGGGGTGTGTGTGTGTGTGTGTGTGTGGTAGAATAGAGGGGGTTTGGGGGTGGTAAATTTGGAAGAATTGTATTTGAATCATTTTATTACATTTCGTCTTTGTCAGAGTGATTTTTCAATAATGCCTGCTTTTACACCATCTGGCCTCAAGAGTATGCTAGGCACACTGCTCTCCTCCTTTTCTTATCTGAAACATGAGAAAAATCCAGGACAAAATGCACCCACGATCTACATAAAGATATCAGAAACACGAGCTCTTCGTGAAAAGCCACAGAAAATGTCCATCAGGTATACACAGAACTGGTTTCAGAAGACCCGCACTTGCTAGAGAACACACATGGAGTTAGCCCAGTCTGTTTACTTGCAGTTTTTCCTGACTGAAGAAATCAAACAAGTTATACTGATGTTAGCCTACAGTATATATACATTCATATGTAGGTATATCAAGCACTTTGGGCGGACCGTATTGCTGAACCAGTGATATTTACCATATTAGAGACACAGATTTTGCTTATAGTTCTGCTAGACAATGACTGTGCACGTACGTGTTACCTCAGCTGTAATACACTGATGCAGTAAACGCCAGATGATAGCCTGGGCCCTCCATTACAGTTCCACCACTGTCTGGGGCTGCTAGTTTTGGTATGCAGAACAAGCCATTTGAACTTGCAGTCTTCTGTCTCTGTTGTCTTCCCCAAGAAACTTTGCTGGTGCAGTACTGCCGAGAGCTCATATTCAGATGAGCACTTCTCACTTGACATTTGAGAAGAAAAAGCTAAACCTTTCAGATTAATGTGTAGCAAATGTTTTTGTAAGTTTTGAAATTAGCAAATGCAAAGTTTCTTGTACAAAGTTTGAAGAAACATTCTGCAACTTTTACAGAACATTCAAGTTTGGACCATTATTTCCATGTCAAGAACATCCCATAGTGACCAAACCACGTTCGTAAGTTCTCAAAGTGTTTTGTTCTAGAAGATTAATATTTAACAAAAATTTATTCTTTCCAAAGACAAAATATACTTGTTTTAAACCTTACAGTATATTTGATACCATAGTATCTCCATCATAAACATATTTGACTTAAGTAGCAATCACTCTGGGAGAGAAACCAAACAGGTTCTTTTGGTCCAGATCATCAACTCGGCTACTACCTTCAGTCTGTACCAAAAGGGCTCACGTCTATTTGCAACCAGCGTCAGCTGAACATCAGGAAAGTTACAGACAGGAAAATAGTATTTATCACTTCTTCCAGGTGCAAAATTCCAATACCACCCAAAGATGAGTTAGCAGTCTTCTCTACAGAGGAGTGAGGGGGGAAAAAAAATACCCCGTGTTTGGTCTTGAGCTTAGGATGGACTTTATTCCTCACACAGGAAACACATTTTGCCTTTCATGAACAGGTACATCACTGCACAAAGCATTCAATCTTGAGCAACTTCAGCATCACTTAAACTGGACTTGAAAGTGGCAGACTAACGCATACAAATTTTCAGTGTTAACACAGATGTGTGATCCAACACTAATTTTCTCCTAAGTACTTGGTATTTGTTTAAATGGTACTTTAGAACCAATAAAAACTTATGCCTTTATTAAAAAGATAAAACAAAAGTATAAAACAGTATTTATAAACCATCAAGAGTCCCATAGAAAAAGCAGTACTCTTCCAGTTCCATTTTCTAACAACACACAACTGCAATAAGATTTTTCTCAGGGGTACTTTACCATTTTGTTACTGCCTCATGCAGAACACTGCAGACAATAACAGAAAATGTAACAATTGTTAATTCCTTTTTGGACTGTCTTTTCTTTGTATGCTGCTAGACAATTGTTGGAAAGTAATAATCCATGTTTTTTCAACTAAAAAATGAGTTTGCTGTTTTGAGCTCTGTTCTTCATATGATTAAATAAATCAAGGTAAAATGATGAGGGGGCTCAATCCTGTAGCACGAAAAAAAAAAGCAACACCCAAGTAAAAGGCTTTTACATTGTTGGCATTGCCTTGCTCCAAAGCACAGCTAGTAGAAGGAATCTTCAAACCCGAAAGACTTGGGAGAGCTATGATCATGGGGTAGACTGGTTAATAGGAAGAGGGGAGAAGACATCGTCCAATCCCTTCCCCATCACCTGGTCTTTGAACTATGTGTAGTTGCACTTCAGACCCACTGGCCACGCTCTACGTTGAATTTCACCACCCCACCCCCCCCTTTTTTTTTTTTCCTTTTCCTTTTTTTCTTTCTTTCTGTACCCTGGAGACCTGCTATTGGAAGGGACTTCTGCAGTGCCTAAGATATGAAGTTTGCCTGTGGGGAGGCAGGAGTCTCTGCAATCTACCCCCACCACTGCAGCATAACAGAAATGCATAGTTCCCACTCTGGACCTTGTGCATCCAAGCAGGGCACTTCAGGATTTGGCCCTTTGGTAGCAGTATATAATTCAGTGTTGCATAAATGCACATTAAGAATCTTAAGGCATCTGTCTTAACTTCCCTGCTCTGCAATAGTGCTTACAAGAATCCATTTTACTGTGCAGAAACTTGAATTTCTTGTCTCTTCCTAAAATGTTCATGTTCCATTTTTTACTGATCAACTTCTTCCAAACAAAATTAAGTAATACTCAAGCACAAAATGTGTTGCAGAAACCTAGTGAAACAAAAAAAGCAATTAGTGGAATTATACCATTAGCTTTGAAAAAACAGATCATAGTGCATTACAAGAATGCAGCCAGGTAACATGTAACTTATAGACTCTGGATTCAGGACAGCAGTTAAGGTAACTTCAACTCATAATTAGCCACCTGGGAGGTGTGAGGTTTTTTGTTTTGTTTTAAACCTCCTCGTTTTAGAAGATTATCTGCACTAAGAACATCAATCCATCACCACTGACCTGTGGCTAAAGTCTCTTGGATCCCTGATTGGCAAGAATTGCTCATTCATTTTGAATTAAACTGATAGATACAGGGGCACAAATGATACTTGCCTAGGTGAGGGAGGGGACTGCTGGCTGGAGGATTGGCCGCCTTTTGCAAATCATGCTCTTTTCTCTAGAATAATCTGGGAATTTTACTCGTCAGCGATAACTTTGCTTCTGCTTCATGTTATAGGCATACAATTGAAAAATACAACTATCAGTCTGTTACAGGATATACAAAAGCATGTAGAACAGATGTTGGATCTCACAACTATCGTATAGTTGCTTACACTTGCAGGGGGACTGGAATTAACCACCTTGGCCTACAGAAACTGTGATCAAATCCAGCTGAAGTCAGAATGGCTGAAACATTGTGCTACCGAGTTAACAACCATTATTTGAGATAACACATACCAAAATGCTTTTGTGTTGGGTGCAATTATGCACTATTTATTTTTACAACTTTTAAAACTACAGCATTTTGGGCAAGTGCGACACAAAGTACACAATCTTCCTTTATTAAACGTGGCCTGACTTTAGGAAGAGAGGGAGGATAAAAGGGAAATTCATCCCAGATTACTACCAGTTAATTGTCCAGCCTAAGCCAGTCACTTATGCTCCCTCTTCTAGGTCAGTGGAAAGAAAGATTAAGACCTTTCCATAATACCCTATCAAAGGCTGCTGGGATGAGCTGCTCTCAGAACATATCTATTCCTCTTTATGAAGAACAGAAAAGCCTCAGTAACCTGTTTAGACCAGATTAGTTTTTATATAGCTGGAGGCTGAAAGGAGTCCCTTGCTGGGACATTCATTTGCACATTATACACATTATATATAAAGTGTTAAGAAAAGTTGCAAAGGGAGAACTCATTGTTGGTGGGTTCTCATGGTTGAGTAGGTTTTTCAGAAGTACTGCTAACTAATTTTGGTTTTGTACAAGTTTACGCTGAGCAGTCTGACCAACAGGCAGCTGAAGCATCACACCATCCCGCACAAAGACTTTAGACAATTTTTTTTTCTTGAAAACATCCCTCCAACAATGATTCCATGTCAGAAGGCTTATTTAAAAAAGAAAAAAAAAATTAAGTGATCCTAAAATTACCAGGTGCACAAAACTCAAATCTTGTGCTTTCTTTCCAAAGAAAATGGGAATTCCTTGCAAGTTGTCTCCTTTTTTTTTTTAAAGAAGAAAGAAAGTTGCTAGATGTCCAAACAAGATTTGTTTCTCTTCCAAAAAGAAAAATTTAATGGAAGCTTATAAGCTCACCACGAAAGAGTCTAACTTAGTCACTGGAAATACACCAAGGGAAGTTTTCATATATGTGGCAGCACTCACTGTATTTCCTTAATGCAAAGTGTGCACCAAGCTCTTACATAAAAGATCCCTGCCAATTCCAAGTGTGACAAAGCAGTCCCTATGCAGACACCTATATTTACCTATTGACCTTCCTCCCTTGTGTGCACACAGCTTCTTAAAGAGCAGAGCACTGCCCACCCATATACGATTAAGAAAAAGACAGTTAAGGAGCTGTTCCTTAAGAACAGCGCTTCCTCAAGACAGCGCTTCATCTTGAAATTGCCTGTTTAGCAGATTAGATTCTTTTCCCTGGTCAGGTAACAAATCCAGCACTATCCACTTCAATCGAAATTACAGGATTAGCCTGACATGTCTCAGATCTAGCCAGCCCATGCTTCCTGTACTGCAGCATTACTCCCATTCTTGTCTTTTGGACAGCCCCATTCTGAGTTTTATTTAGACTTTTCTATTACTCATCCAACATCAGAGGAATCCTTTGCATTCCATGACTAACGACTTTTGACTTCAAGATGTCTATTTTAGTTTACTCATACATATACAGAAAGGGCAATCAATTCTGTTGGTCTTACCTGTTTCTCATTGAGATGGTTGGTTAGTAATAAGCTGAGATCAGCTTTCCAATGAAACTATAATATGCTTTTTTGCACCTAAAATGTGAGAGAATCTCAATTATGTGTTTTTGCAAATTTGCATAACAAATACCAAAGACTTCAAACCAGAAAGCACATTTATTGTATTGTGCCTATTTTAGAAAAATATTTTCCTCCCCCTAATCTAACATAAAAAGATCCAAAATCTCAGAACAGGAAGTGCAAAAGTGAGAATTATCTATCCATAACCTTAGTGCAATAACTCGTTTTGGAGCAGAGCATGAGACACAAGTTACCCTTAACTTCTAAACATGCTGACTTGATTCTATGGAACACATTTTCTTGTACTTGACTCCAACCAATTCCTAAGGACTTTTTAGGCCTAAGAAAAAATGGAAAAGCCCACCACAAGCAAAACCATAGAATCATCAGAAACGTTACAGTGCAGGCTACCTGATTTAACGTTTTCCTCTTCAGGGGCGCCTTCCACCCACTGACTGTCACTGGCTAGCAATCGATTTTGTGATTCACTGAGTGGTCGAGTAGGAAAGGACTGATTTGCTCCAGAGCTGAAAAGTAAGCCAAGTCAAAAGGAAGTCTGTAATAGCAGTAGGTCATTATTTCAGACATCTGTAGAGCAGTGAAATTATTTAAGAGCAAAGCAAACAAAACCCCCCTAAACTGCCAAGTAAAAGTGCCCCCCCACCCCACCCCAGTTCTCCTATCGGCTTGTTCCAGTCATCAGTCTAAAGCCTTACCTGCCATAGGCCATTCACAGTTCGAATGCAAAAAAAGCACAGATTGATGGACAAGAAATGGCATACTGACAACAGTGCTACTGCCATGCAGTTAAAAAGAAAACCTAACCAGTACTGTCTAGAAGAACAACCTAATGCCATCTTATCTCATCAGTAAATGCTAGGGCCTTCTGCTGAGCATCTTCTTAATGCAAAAGGATACCCTGCTGCTTGTGCGAGGGTTCTGCTCTTGCATAAATTCCACAGGTTATGTTGCACTGGAAGCGACTTCTTGGTATTGCCTTTGAATGCCCCCAATTTCTGATAACTCAGGTGACTGCTGTTGACAACAGCCTTCAACTACAAATTCATCAGACTATACAGAAGACTTCTAAAATTGCAAATGTAAACACCCCCAAAAGTTTCATATGCCTGTGTCTTTGAATCTAAAGCAGGCTTCCTGAAAATACATTGAAGATGCAAAATGTGCAAATTTGGAGGGATAAAAAGTAATGAGCTAAAACCCCTCCAGTGCTAAAAACAAGCAACAGCTGCAGTGATCTACCTCTCCTGCAAACTGTCTCAGGATCCATTGTTTAAGCATGCTGGAGGAGGTGAAATACAAATAATACCTTGCCTTTCTCTCATTCCAAAAAATATCTTAAACCTTTTTTTTCCATAGACCATTATTCACTCTTCCCTAGGACTTTTTTGATTGTTGTTCTCTGAAGATTTACAAACTCACTTGGAAGATGACAAGAAGTATAAAAAATTAAAAAATAATTTTGAAACAATTTTTTCTCCAGATGAAGTACAGAACAGTACAAAATCAGTATTTTAAATGCTATAGTTACCTTTTGGCAGGTTCATTTTGGCTTGAGACAGTAAGTTGCTCTGGATCCGTAATCACCAAACGAGTTGGAAAATTACACCCATCGCCCAAACTAAACCAGAAACAAAGATTCAAATCACTGTTTGTAGTTGACTTAAATGAACTGAACAAGTACCCATGCAAAAGGCAAACGCTACAGGCTCAAATAAATTACTTGAATGCAGTTTTGAACTCCAGACTTGAGCAAGACAGTTCTACCACTAAACTGGATGATCAGTTAATTAAATCTTGGAGCTCAAATGATTCCCATACCTATCACTCAGCATGGATTGCTGAGCACAGCACTAGTCTATGTATTTCAGAAACATCACTGGGTTTCTGTTGACTGTAGCCCTAGTCTTCCCCCAAACCACCGTACACACGTAGTCAGGCTATGTGGTATTTACAACCCCAGAAGCTGTAGCATAAATAATATCCTGGTGGCGATGCTTTTCCCTCCGCCCATCGTTTTGAGGTTAGCTAAGCCTTCTTTCAAAGCAAGTTTAATCAGGAGAACATGTGGTGGCAAAACAGACTGATCCATCTACAATATAGCTTCTGTCTTTAAGCATATGAAAAGTCATGGTAGTTGAGCAAACAGCTGAGGCAACTGAAGATCTTGTTATTACCTCTGCTGTTTGCTACCAGACCTCAGCTTAACAAATGGGTTCACCAACATTTAAAACTGATACACAACCCCCCAAAAGCAGTGTTGAAACACGGCTCCTACTTTGTTCTGCTGATTTTCAGGAGTGGTGGGAGTGGGCTGCAAGTCAGTCTTGCTTCATCAAGCTCTTCTGACACTTGTCTGCAATTCCCTAATGCTGGCTCAGCTGAAGTTTTAAAATGAGTATTTTGCATCATATCAGGGGATTTTTTTTTGCACTGCTGCTTATTTACACACACTTTCTCAGGCAGCTTTCAGTACCGAAACTGTCATCTACAGCATAAGGAAAGCTGTCAAGCGTTTTCAGGGGCAAGAGAGGGTGTTTTTAAACTGGTGGTGTTTCAATGCAGCTGAAGTACGAGCATTTAGATCTCCTTCAAGTTGCTGATTTCTGCTCTATAATCAGACACTAATACTACCACCAAGAGGTGTATGATTTTTGAAATACACTTCTCAAAGCTTTCCAAACTTCTGTATTTAGAAGGCCCTTGTCAACGAGGCCCTTGTCTTTGAATGAAAACCCTGTGCAGAGTTTGCTTAGTTTTCTCCTGCACATTTTCCCTATTCACTGGGCAGGCTTTATAAGATGACTTTCAGTTGCGCTTTCTTTTTTAGGAGAAGTGGAAGCAATGTGAAAGTCATGGAATCAATTTATTCCCTAATTCATTCCTACTCAGACTGAATACCTGGTAAAGATAGGGAGTAGCCAATACTTCTTTTCATCTCCGAAAACCTCCCTCAGATTTTTGCTGCATCCAAGAGAAAAGCCGTTTTTATCAGGGCCATTACGAAATGTGGGTGCGCGGAATGTTTCTGTAAAGGAAAAACATGCAGTGATAAGGTGTCATGGAAGACAAAACCAGACTCAAACCCCTCTATTGTGAAAGCAGTGTTGGGCAAGCTGAGACAATCTTGATGTGTATTAAGGGAGGAAAAAAAAACCCCTAATCTCAAATAATCAGTGTAAGAAAAAAATCACAACATTAATGACAAAAACAGAAATGAAAGGTAAGAAAGTCACGTAAGCAGAACAGTCATCTTCCTCTCTTTACATTTAACATAAGGCCTGAGACAGAGCTAAGTACCATCAGCATGCCAAAGATACCACATCCCTTAGTCACTGAGCTCTCTCTTTGGCCTGTGAAGCCGCCTTTGAGCAGACGACTTCCTCTTCTAGAAGCAGTTCTCATAAGCACTACTGGGACCTAAACCCATACAGGATAGTTTTTTCCACTTCTGCCAAGGTCTGAATCTGAATTAAGAGCACCCCGTGGTATCAGAGAAAGATGAGATCTCTTACATTAGAAACATAGACACACCACAAACTGTAGCAAACCACCACCATTTTTCTAGTCGGTCCAGTTACACCCTTGGGCAAGAACTGAGAGGACTCATTGCCCTCCCCATACCAACAGCTTGTCTTTTTACAATCATGATCCAGAAAGTAAATGAAGTACTGACTCTTGCCAATTATGACCCTGACTTTTGGGCAAGGAACATGCTAAAATTTTCTTCAAAGCTAAAAAAGAGACTGCGAATATTCCTTAGCTGTAGATATGTCAAAAGAAAAAGGACTCAAACAACCCTCCTGTCAAGCAATCACAAAAATTCCTTTTCCTCCATCAGAAAATTCTAGCAAGCTGAAAATCATTTCACTTTTAATCAACCCACTTATTTTTGAGGACAGAAATTTAACTTCCATTGAAAGGTATAAGATTTTGACTTATTTCATTGTGGAAATACACACCAGTCCCCGCTCCCCCTCACTCCACAAAAGAGACTTTCAAAAATGCTTTAGCAAGAAATTCAGATATTTTAACTGATGCACGTAACTTGTTTCTGATGGTGAATGCCATTTAAAACATTTAGGCATAGAAATTACAGGAATCTCTTATTATTTAGGAAACGTGCATCTGTTTTCATTTTTATTGCACTGCTTTTACAAGCCACTTCCTAATAGTGAGGCCCATTTTATTTCACAGGATTTAAGAATATTCTTTTGGAGCCAGTTCAAAAATATAGTATGTTCATACACAGTAGAGCCTTCACCTTGGTTGGGGCCACCCAGCTACTCAAAGTATTAGAACAAAAGGGTTACTGGCAAGTAGCAATTATGTTACATACTTAACACTATATAAAAACACAACAAAAATGCACAGTGCCTCAGAGATCTCAAAAATACAAATGAAAGAAATTAACATTCATCATGAATCTGAATGCTTGGCTCCAGCAGAGGACTCCTACACATGCTTCATTTTCTGATGTTTCACCTTTAATTACTTTCACCAAATACGCTTCCTATTGCACAATATTTGAAAATTCCGTTTATATGTGATGGCATATCCTGTAGGCCTCACATTCTCATCGACTTGTTGGTTTTCTGGACAAGGAACAGTTCCATATTCCAATTAACTGACCTATAGTTGATCTGTTTTTGCCAACTAGCCAGCAGTGGTAGCTGAAGAGTGACAGTATGCTGATGAAGAACATGGCTGCCACAAAGAAAAGGAATAGTACGTGGAATTTTGGACGGGTATCTGGCAATTCATTCTGAGGAGAAAAAGAGATTAATATGTTAACACTTTTTAGCAACTAATACAGTATTGTCACTAAACATTTCCTCCCACACTCATTCTGCTTCAGGTCTTTCCCCTCACTTTTCACAAAGGAAAAAAAGCACAAGCCCGGCTTTCCTTTCATGTCATGTTAAACTGGCATACAACAGCATTTAAAGCTCATGGGTACCCTTTCCACCGGAGTTTAACAGAATGAGTGCATATGTTCATCTGTTAGTTTTTAAATGCACAGCAGGGGGCAAGGAAAAAAAAATTTCCTGTACTAAAAAGATGTTAACTGTGCAGCCACAGCCAAAGAGACACAGGGAAAACATGTCCAAAATCACTTTCTTTGAAGGGAAGAAAATAGAACAAAAATGTCCAACCCCTTTCCTGGCAAGGTAATAAACCTACTTCTGAACTGACTGAAGGAATGTAAAAGGGAAATGGCTGTCATATGGTGTTTCCAAGACTGAACAACTCCTAGACAAGACCTGGGACAGATCCTCAATTTTTGATGATCTCCAAGGTTTAGGCAACAACCAGCATGTACCTAGCAAAACAAGTTTGCCATGTCTGACCAGGCAGAAGTGATTCACCAGAGGATCTAAATGAAAAACAATTTCAGTACAACCACCATATAAAAAACAACCTCCCACCCATATCGGATAGTCAATTCCACCCCCGACCCCAACTATTTTTAGGCTTGCACTTTCAAGAGGCCAATGGGATTTGTAACGATACTATTCCAGCTCTATATCCTCAAAATCACTGTACTTTTAAGTAGTTGACCTTTAACAGCACTATGAAAGCAGAGAGGCTATTTTTAGTCAGCCGTTTAGGTAGCATTATTGCCATTACTTTTTCCATTAGCTCATTCAGTATACCCACTTAATCTAAGGCTGATTTTTTTTTTTTTTTAGACTAAACCACATTTCAGTTAGGACCAAGTGCACATAGGTATATCTATATCCTTGTACACTGCCTATATTCATAGACAACAGGTTACAAGTCTCCTTCCTTCTGTGATGGTGTAAATAGCTACCAAGAATGACTGAAAAATTATAGTAGGAACAGTATTTTAATAGTTACAGCAATATTGGATTTTACCTTTGGACAATTCTCTGCAGCTTTCCTGCGGCAAAGCTTTGCGCAAACAAAGACAATTTATTAAACACTAGTATTATGTTAAGACGAAGCGTTTGAAAACAGCACAGGCTTTGTAAAGAACAAAATGGTTGGCGTGCACACGTGCCCTCGGACGTGTCAACTTCCAACGCCCATCAGGAGCCTTAGCCCCCATTCTCCAAGAGAACGGAGGAGAGAGTACATAAGAGCACACTACTAATTTCCAAGGCATGAAGTTTTCTACCAAAGCATCTAAGTGCTGCTATTCAGATTGTAGCTGGATCAATTTCAAGTGGTTCCTCAGCTTGGACAGCATGACTACCCCAGGTGCATTCTTTACTAGTTGTTTCCATCACAAGTAAGGTGATATGAATATTCTGTATGATGAAACTATTGATAAAGGTCTGAAAAGCTTAGAATACTCCTGAGGTATGAAGCAATGGTTTATAGATTACAAAATCTTTCTGACTTAAGAACATATCTTATTACCGTTAGATGAAGTTTCAGTCAAAACCATTAAAAAAACTGAATTGACATTCTTTGCACAGTTTTCTTTGTTTAAAAAAAAGAACCCATAACACACCAATACAGTTTTTCTTCTTCCCAATACCTTCAATACTGAGATATGTTTGTGGAATGTATCTTTAGTGTAACATCTGAAATTGAGCCAATACTTAAAATAAAGCAAGAAACAGGAAAGCTTAATTTAAATTAGCTTTTAAATTCCAAACTTTATACCTGAAAATCATATTAGCTGTCTTAGCTAAGATGTTAGCGCTTAATGATCTATTGTAGGCAAGAGGTACGGCTTTTAAGTTACATTAATCTGTGCAGAAAGCCTAGGAGGAGCCCAAGCATCTACAGTGGAGTCAGGCAGGTATATACACAGCATTTTCTAAAATGCTGGCTACCATCAGATCATGCTACAGTAAGCAAATGATAGCAGAGTCCAGCTCTCTGAACTGCCATCTAAGTTCAGTTTCCTTATTTACTGCCTTTTTTTTTGATGCAGTTTTGCTTGGACAATTTGTGCAACAGTCCCTCTTCGCCCTGCTGCAGGGATATGTTGTGTTTTGTGATCCCTTGAAATCAAGGCTAGCAAAATGCATTCTTCAATTGCTGCTTATTCTCAAGCTTTATGTTAAAGCTATGATGACTTTTCCTACCTAAGAGCACACTGCAGTGTTCCTCAGTTTCCTAATTAGTTTTTGTAACTTCTATTTCTATGGCTCTTTTAGAATTGTGTATTTGAACAAAATAGTTCTCTGTAAAGAATTCTCAGGCCAGTTGATTTTGAAGCTCAAAGAGCAGTAGCAGCTTAGTGTGTCTTCTGTGGGCCAGAAAATAAAAGTTTATTTCAGTTGCATCTTCCTAAAGCACTGGCTCTACAACCTGGAGAAGGATTTTTTTAATTATGCATGGTTAGTCTGCATGATCCCCAGGAAGCATTTACCTCTTCTGACTACCCAGTTTCAGCCATTGGCTCTAAGTTTTTCAATAATAGTTGCAGAACTGAAGCATCTTTCAGAAAAGGCCAATTCCTTCCTGGAGAGAAGCATGCAGGCTTTGAGTGCATGTTAACAGGCTTAACACAGTCATGTTCTAGCAGCAGTCCACATGCCAAAGCACATGAAAGACAGCGAAACTTCAGACATTAGTTACTTAAAATCATTATGCTCAGCAGCAGCACCGAAGCAGAGACTTGCAGGTGAAAGAGCTGCAGAGTTTACATAGGGAAGCAATTTGAACAGTAAAATTTGGGTTACTTAGCACACGTAATAGACTAAAGCCAGTCACTATTCCAACTACTTCACAAGCACAGTATCATTTGAGCATGTATCAGGTCACAAAAAACCCCAAACAAAACCCACAACAAAAAAAATGCTGTCAGAGCTTGACTTGTTACTAATCTTTTAGTAGATAGGTCTAGCTTAAATCTAGAAAAAAATCAGAAGATCTGGTGTATGTCCTTATGTGTATGTCCTGATTTGGGCTGGGACAGAGTTAATTTTCTTCCCAGTAGCTGGCATAGTGCTGTGTTTTGGATTTAGTATGAGAATAATGTTGATAATACACTAATGTTTTAGTTGTTGCTAAGCCGTGCTTGCACCAGTCAAGGACTTTTCAGCTTCCCCTGCTCTGCCAGGTGCAGAAGAAGCTGGGAGGGGGCACAGCCAGGACAGCCGACCCCAACTGGCCCAAGGGCTATTCCAGCCCATAAGATGTCATGCTCAGTATATAAACTGGGGGGAGTTGGCTGGGGGGCAGTGATTGCTGTTTGCGGATGGGCTGGCCATCAGTCGGTGGGTGGTAAGCAGTTACATCACTTGTTTTTCCTGGGGTTTGTTCTCTCTTTCTGCCTTGTTAGTTTTCTTTTCATTACAATTTATTATTATATTTCAATTATTAAACTGTTCTCATCTCAACCCACGAATTTTCTTACTTTTATCCCCCATCCCACCAGGGGGTGGGGGGGAGGGTGAGCAAGTGGCTGTGTGGGCTAAACCACGACAATATGCAAGAGGAATGAGAATCATGTTCTCTTTTTTTGTTAATACAACCAAAGTTTTCCAGGAGCATGTGCCATCTAACCCAGAACACAAATCACATCCTGGAATTAGCTCTACTCAGGACTGCCAAAATAATTTGGAGGACAATGAAAGACACTGAAAACAGCTGGAAAATATACAGGTTTCAAGGGGGAGGGAGTGCAGCAAGAATGAGAGTAGATACAAATATGCACTGGGAAGTACCACCATGCACTATGTAAACAAGGCATAAAGGACTGGGCGTTCAGCCAGTGCTGGTGTTTGTGTCAAATACATTTGGTTAAACTGAGGTTTTATCTACTAATCTTTAGCAGCTTCCTAGGTAGAAATAAAAATGTCATGAGTATAGGAAAAGTAGTTATGAGTGTTGGAAAAAAAAAAAAAAAAAGTCATTCACGTTCCTTTGATTTACAGAACAGATTTTAACATCTGCATCAGCATATGAGCCTGTGGTTTATATTTACATTTACATACATGTAACATTTACAGCCAGCGTGATGTTCCACCACTGTACAAACAGTATTGAGACCTTTCTTCAGCACTTCTGCATAGAGCATGGAATATGCCATGTAAAAGACTTGCATGTGCAAGTGGGAAACACAAAGTCGTTCTTCAACAGAAGAGTTAGGTAGGTGTGCATGTCTCACAAGGTTTGCAAGTACCTGCATATGTGTCGTGTCCCTATGCAAACATTATCAACAGTGCAAAACAATGGGTTGCTAAAATTTCTGTAGTTAGCACAATACACCTTCACAACATCATTACTACAAATTCTGAAGTGACCAAGGCTACACTCCCCAAGAAGCAGTTCATCTTCCATCCCAACACTGGATACATACAGCAGTTTGTTGCATACTTCCCTGAAAAACATCTATGATGAAGCAAAAAAGAAACGCTACCTTCTGAAGCTACACTATAACGTTTCTGATAGTCAAGCTCTGGGGGGAAAAAACAACATCTAGAGAGCCTCAACAGAAAATGTCAAAACAGTAATCTGTCTGATGCTGTAGCAAAGCTGAGCATTAGCAATATACTGAAGCAGTCTACAGACAGCATGTGTCAGCAGTACTCTGTTCTGATCTGTATACAGATGTGGAAAGAAACTGCCAGGATTCTATTCTGCAGTCAACAGCACTTGCCTAGAAGCTTACATACTGGAGACACACTAAATTTTGCAAGCTGACATGATTATGGTGCTGCCACCTCTTTCTGGAAGTCTAATCAGGCTACTGTAACATCAGAGGAATATTAGGTTTGTGGAATGAGTGCCTTAATATGAATAAAGTGAGTCAGAGACATACTCTAATGATAAGATCATGGCATCACCAGATTCTGTCTTGGAAGTAACCGTAAATTAAAGCAACAAGTGCAAGCACACAACTACGTTGTCTATTGTCACATTTCAGAAGTAGACCATTCTTACAGGAAGCATTTTCAAAAACTAAATCATTAAAAAAAGAATCCCTCTTAAGTTTACTTCCTCTGCTCAAGGGTCCACTTCAATATCATGTCCGATGGGCTTCAGAAGAGCCTTGCTGCAAATGCTGGTATTAAACATTCATTATGGTCAGATGTCCTGTGGGCTTTTGTTGCACTAACACTTATGAAGTGAGGTGATAAAGCAAATTCATTTTTTTTGCTCAAGCACTGACTGGTAAATATGTGAGAGCGCATCTACAGTTTCATTAGAAATTGCATACAAAAGCACTGGAAAGCAGACAGGCAGATGTTCGGAGTGGCACATTCACAAATTAAAAATTTAACTATTTACAGTCAAGTAAGACTGAACAGCAGAATCAGACCATTTCACCTGAAATATATGTCAAGCCACAGCTATGACTGAGAAATACCTTTGGCTTTCATCTCACAATACTGACAGCTCAATTCCCACATAGTTCCTTGCTCTCCAGGGACAGGCCACTACATAGAACTGATGGACTGAAACACAGTACTTTGGCAGATCAGACCCATAAGCTTAGATGAACACAAACAAACATACTTTTTGCACCATTTATCTCACCTGTCTAATGCCAACTGTCTCAAAGTACAGCTATTCTGAATACATGATCAAGCTTCTCTTAACCTGACATGGCAACATCTTTTTGCTCCAGCAGAGATTATCTGCACAGCTATAGATAATGACCGCTTTTCTAGTTACTCTGACAGCAACTGGTGTCTACGAAATTGTGCTGTTATATCACAGAATCACTATGGTTGGAAAAGACCTTTAAGATCATCGAGTCCAACCCTTAACCTAACCCTGCCATCCCACCACTAAACCATGTCCCTAAGCACCTCATCTATCCTTCTTTTAAAGATGTGATGGAGAGCCTTCCACTTCCACGCTAGTTCATGGAAACTGATTAAGGGAATTCTGATGCTAACTCTTCTGCCTAGAGACAGGAAGGAACAGTACAAGCTTTTGGAGATGAAAGGGAACACCACCAGAAGATGCTCTGTTCAGCCTGGAACATGACTGGAACAAAACTGATAGGAGGAATGTAACAGACATACAAGGATGGTTGCCTTTCACACAAATGTTATTACATCTGCCAAGATGCATGTATGTGCATCGATCATTTGACAACTGATAATAGTCGCAAGGTAGATGTCTATCATTAACACACTACATATCTTAGCATTCTACTCAGATAGATAAAAGCCACTAGTATCAAGTTCAGACATGCCTATGTAGGGTCTACAAAACAGAGCTCGGTCAGTTCCCAAGAAATTAATCTGCCTTATCTGGTAGCAGATTATCCATAGACAAGTCTAGGAAGATACAAAATTATTATTTATATTTCACATTTGTCAGTATTTTTATATATACATGAGTGTGTGTGTGTGTATACACACACACATATATGTAGTTGTTTGATATAGCCAGTTATTTCTGTATCTACATATCTATATCCAATAGCCTCAAAAAAACCTGAGCTGTGCCACTTGATTTTGATGGAGCAGAGAAATTGCACAGTATCCTCACTGGAACTTCTTCCCCCCCAATTACTCATCCTGGGCAGCGAAATACATTTAATTCATTAATATTAGGAAGGTTCTCCTGCTTCAGTCACTTTGATTGATGCTGTTAACGGTAACGTACTATGGAACAGAGTAAATGGTGAGTGACAACATGCTGATGCAGCCTCCAATAACACATGCAGGATAAAACAAATTAACAACAAAAAAGAGTCTTAGAACTTACTGTCCAAAACTTTATGAAGTACTGCAAGACTGTAGCAGCAACAAACAGACAGTACAGTAAGGAATACATTAAAAACAGGAGGAAGAATTTGTAGTTAGAAAATCCCACACAATTATTCACCCTAGAAGGAGGGGAAAGAGAAAGAGGTTACTATGATATACAAAAAATAAAATAAAATAAAAAACAATACATTCAGCTTTTGCAGAGCATAACATGTGTGTGATGTCAGTGGTATGTCCAAAACAGCCTGGCACTAGTGTTTCAGAAGCATTTTAAGCCACCATTTTGAATTAATCCTCTTTCCTCAGGCCAAACGATGTGGGGCCCTCGCAAAAACTTCACCCCTCACAAAGTTCTACAGGACAGGACATGAGCTGGCAAAGCATACAATACATACAATCTGTATAGGAAGCATCTCACACACTATGAACTAACGGCAGTCATCGCGGAAGGTAATATGAGCCTGTCCATCAATTTCAGTGGATGTTGCTTTGGTTACCAAACCACCTTCAAGTCAACTACTCATAGCAGCATTCTTACAGTGACAGCAGAGAATATTTTTACTGACTACCAGTGAATACAAACTGCAGAAGAGTAACTATCTGAGTGGTCTTATGTATCGTCTAGAATCAAGAACTGGTTTTCACAGTGTAGTGGGTATCTCCTCTCCTGGTAATAAGACCAAACTAAACAAAAGAAAGAAATGCCATTTCTCATAGGTCTCACTAATGCCAGGGTTTCTGGAGAAACTGCATGATTTGGACTACTGAGCCTAAAACTCTATGTTGCAACACACATTAAGAACAAGATTTATTTTCACATATTAAAGCCTCAAGAAATGCTGTGAAAAGTTTTACTTCAAAGTTGCATTTTTGAAGCAGCATCTTATTCATCATGTAGAATGTGATTAGTCATCGTTATACTGATTTTTTTTTTGTTGTTTTTATAAACTTACCATGGACAGTGGTGGTCCATTTTTAATACACATCTGAAAGAGATAATTTCCAGTAAGTTAGAAAGAAAATATATTTTTTGCTTTAAGACACATATTTTTAGATTTTACAGGTTCAGGCATTGTGGGTTTTTTGTTGGTTTTTGTTTGCTTCTTGTTGTTGGTGTTTGTTTTTTTTTTTTTTTTAAAGTATTTTGCCCGACTGTATTTTTTTAAGTCCTTCTCAATCATGCCAATTCTTCATATTATAGCAGCTATCCTTTCACCCAAAAGGACTAAGTGAGATTCAGAAGTTATGAAGAGAGCCTCTTGAACTAACATGGGGAGTATTACTGAGCAACACTGTAATAGTTCATTATGCCACACTAGTTTATGTGCACATTGAGAGAAAATAAGTCCAAAGGGCCCTCCATAGTTGTGTGGATAAGGTATGTTAGACTGGCATTCACTTAAACTAAATCCAGCTTAGGGCTATTTTTGCTACTTTTGTTTGCTTTTTAAAGCTAACTGAGGAAGAGAGCAGCACAGTGGGCAATTTGAATAGTACACATGCCATTTTCATCCAGTTCTAGTATAAGGACAGATACTAGACATTTCAGACACACAGACATTCACTGTATATGCTAATAAATTTGATTTTAGCCAAAATATGTGATTAGGTTCTTCAGTTAAATACGAGTTCCTCAAGCTCAGCCTACTGAAGTGTCACTGATAGCCTCAGTCTTCAGTGCCCTTACAGACTTCTCTGATGATTCAGAATGAGGCTAGGCAATAGCAGAGATGTCTTTGAAATGGCTAAGGCATGTAATTGCACTGTCAATCTCAGAGATAAAGATTTTTAGCGTTATTAGTAGCACACATCTGTTTCAAGGCTGCAGAAGCAAGATACAATAGAAGAGCTCTATAATAAGCATTTGCTGTGCTGGTATCTCAGACCTGTCTTTCCTTACTTTCAATTGCTGGTTTATTTATTTATTTTAAATGTAAGCACTGTTTTAAAAAGCTACAAGCAGGTTCCTTAAAAAATTCTGCCATTTTGGACAAGGGGCCGCAATGATAATATTGCATGAACAGGAGGAACTTTGCTCTTTCATGAAATCCAGGTACTGAGGATCTTAAGAGAGGAACAAATAGTAAAACCTGCTGTTATGCAAGGGCTGCCACACTGAAGACATGAACACACTACAGTGATGATTGCAGGAGAGAGAAAAATCCGTCATTTCAGATCCAGTAACTTACATGTCACATGCAGAACAGTGGTGGCAGCGGTCAGGTTTGATTAGCTGGCATCGATCACAGTATCTGATTGCTGCATTCAAGGGGCAAGGGTCAAGTCATTAGAACTCAATTAATGTTACAAAGGTTTTCCCCCTTAACATGAAATGAATCTTAAAGCGCTTCCTGCCCTCCCCGCCACACCTGTTCTCACAGACCTTCACGTGCCTACTCTCATATATGTACTTTTGAGTTTAAGAAATGTAACATATGAAAGCGTTTTAAATACTTTAATCTATTACTACTGTACTGAGTCCATTTCCATTTACTCTTTGGCTCCCCATCCTTCATCCCCTGGCACTGATCCCCTATTGCTTGCTTTCTTTCACCTCTGGACAGGGTACTCAGGCAACCTGTCTTTCAGCAAGCCAAATTTCTGCATTAGCTTTCTTTGTTCTCTTCAGCAAATAGTGAGCTAGCAGACTGTTCAGTAAATTAGCTCTTCCTCATCTTTCCTGGATATTTTTAAACAAGCCTTCAGGCTCTTCTCAATGGAAGTAAGACACCAGCACAGGCAGTTTGAGAGGAGGAAAACCAACACCTACAGCTAAGCAGAACTGCTAAGAGCTGGCAAAAGCTTCCCAGACCACACCAGGAATTTAAGACTGGGATTCCCTGAAAGGGAAGCTTGTATTCAAAAAAGCCAGGTGTCCTTAGACTTTCTTTGGAAAGTCACTGTAAACTTTGGTAACAGTTATTCTGAGTAGTTTATGTTTTTGGAAAACTCTATGGCATTGCTAGTTTCAAAAAGAGAAATGGATATATATACACATATAAAAGCTAGATTTTTTTAAGAATATACATATGTATAAGGCAGCAGTTTCACAGATCATTCATAAGTAAGTTGGAATAAAAATGCCTATGTGCATTAAAGGCAAATACAGAAATAGCCCATAACTAGCTTTGCACTGAATTACAGATGGGAATGAAACAACATTTATTCGTTCTTAATTTCTAGCCTTAAGTCTGATGTTTCTCCTCCAGCTGAACTGATACAGCTCAGAAAAAAGAAGTTTAAAGGCAGATATAAATGATTATAAAATGGAGTAAAAAGTTGAGTTGTCTCTATTTCTAGCTGTATTTCTTTGCTGTGCTTATTTTTTATAGTCGCAATTAGAGATAAATGTTGTCATCTATCTGCTTGCTAGGAGATCATTTTTTTTAAATTCCAAATACTGGCTACATGTTGAGATCCCCAAACAAAGGACTCCAGTTTCTCTTGGGGAAAAAAAAAAACCCAACAGTCCAGACAAATAACAAAACAAGGTCATGGCCTTTGCAATATGTGCTTAATAGATTGTTCATTCAGTGACATAGAATGAATTTCACTGAATTAAACTAGCAACTTCAGAAGCACAGAATTATCTTTATATCTCACCTCTCGATGCTGTTGTCGTATAGATAGGCAAGTCTTTAGCAGCTCTTCTCAAAATCTCCTGCTGGGATTCTGGTCTCTCTTCTTTTTCATACTGTTCTTTATCAGCTTTTGACAAGCAGAACTAGGAGGGAGCGAGAAAATGGAATAAAGGGAAGAGATTAATTATTACTTTGTGTTCTAGTCAAGCTCCAAGGAAAAGATCCTATGTATCTTAACCCTATGCCTTTGGAGAACCCCCACCCGCTGACTCAAAAAAATCCACATAAACGGAATGCTGCAGGAATTACAGAAGTAATGGAGTAAAACTCCATGATGGCCCTGGGCATATTTTAAAGAAAATAATCTTCATCTCTGTTTCATTATTTATGGCATTTTCCCTTCAATACAAAGGGACTTTTCCTTCAATACAAAGAGACTCAGGGGAGTTTTAAGAAGGCGTTACTTTTCCTTTATGCTTATCAGGAGTTAAATTTAAGTGATCAGTGCACAAGAGGAAGGTGCAACAGTCCTTTTCTGATACGGGGCACTGAAATTCTCTTGTTCCACTTCTGTTGAAAGAGTTTAACTGGAATTTTTACTTCTGAGTAGTCAGCACTAGTCTCAAAATCCATGAGCTGTATTGAAAGCAAATTCAGCAAAGGTTGTACAGTTTCAGAGAGAGTTACAATTCTGAGTAAAGCATGAGGAGCATTCTTGTTGAAGCCTCAGTGAAATCTAAAGCTTTACCTGGAGAAACGCTTTACTTGTGAAACGCTTAGTTTGGTAGCCACAGAAATTATGAGCTTTACCATTAAGCCCCACAAAAACCAGTGTGCTGACAAGCCCCTGCAGAGCTGGGGCTGAACTCACTACTTCCTTTGGTTTTTTCCTGTTCTGAAGCACTTTTAAAGTCTGAGATTCCTGCATGGACTACAAGGGCCCTTTTTATGAGCACCCATAGACAAAGTATTCACGGCAGTGAGTGGAAAATGCTGTGTGTGCAACTGGAACAAAAATTGGCTTAGGGTGGTTTAATATGACCATATTTTCCTACCAAGAACATGCATATGATTATTTCACATGGATTTTCCTCTCATCCTATACTTTTTCCTCTTTTGGATTATAGTCAGTTAGTTGGCAGGCAACAATGAAGACTCCACTTACAGAAAGGAGGAAGCAGTAAGACATTGCTGAAATTTCTCTGCATTATTTCCTAACCCAGAATGCAAATAAGTTAACTAGATTCCGTGAGATATTAGGCAAGTCTGCTATTACATATAGTATCATACCAGTTATTGAGCCTACCCACCATTCAAGGGTGAAACATAATCCCCTTTTAAATAATCAGAAACTAGCATCAATCTATACAAAGAGTGAAATTGAAGTTTAACAGTTCAGTCATCACCAAGAGTTTGACCTAATTTTTTAATATCCATCTGTATCCATTTACTAAAATGTGAAAACTGGAGATGCTCACATAAAAAGTTTAAGACAGATATGGAGCATCATGCCAGCAAACAGCAGTGCAATATGACTTCCTCCCTATTGCCCTTATGAGTCTGCTAGGTAACCAAATGCCTGTCTCCATGACCTGTAATCAAGCAGAGGTGGCATTAAACATGAAATACTACTTCTAGATGACATTTCTATGGCAAACCATTAAAGCACAGAAAATGAACTAAATCACAAGACTTAAAACTTTTAAAATTTGTCCAAGTAACATCGTAATATTACTCCAAAAATCCTGGATACAATTTTGGTTTTCCGAACAGCTATATTTCTGTTCTAGTTTCAGAAATTAATAGGGCCATGAGACCACAGTCTCTTTGGACAATGGCAGGATATGTTCAAAGACATCAAAAGTTGTCTGTTACCACATAGCTAACAGAATTTCCAATGAGGTTCCAGCAGTTCTTATTGAAAACAGAAAGTCCCTTTGTTTCCTTCCTCTTTCTGGATCTTGTACAATGTTGATTGTTCTTTCTTATGACAAACGTACAGGGATTACACTAAGACAACAGCAGCTGCAGAATCTTTTTTTAGTTCAATAGTAAGATCACAGGATGCTATTTGTTTTGCAAGAATGGCTAATTTGAATGAATAAAAATATATACGTTTACACTCTCATACAATGGGGACATTCTGAAATCAGGTTTTGTTTTTAGGTGAGACCAGCATAAATTACTCACTGGTACGTGAAAAGAAGGGACTTGCCCAGAGAGAGAAAAAGTGGTGGTGGGGTTTTTTGTTTGGTTGGTTTTTGTGGGTTTTTTGGTGTGTGGTGTTTGTTGTTGTGGTGGAGTTTTGTTGTTTTTTTCTTTTCAAAAGCTAGCTGTAGAAGAAAACTGTATTAAATCTGATCTACCCCCACGCTTGATATAGGAAATATTCAGTACATGCCATATGCCCAAACCATCCCTTTCCCTCACTGAATATGAAAAGCTTGCTACAACATTACAGTAACTACAGGATAAGTACTGTCAGAAGTAGTTTTCTATTATTGCAGAATCCAAGCAGACAGTTAAAGTTACTATGCATCAGCTTCATGCAGCTCTAGTTCATATAGCTTTACAAAGCCTCGAATAACACAGTTCCAACCACATTTTAATTAGCTGGCATACTTAACTTTATCATTTTCCTGCAGAAGCATCCCAGATAAAGCGGAAACAAGCCACCCGAAGACAGGTCCCATTGAATTTTTAGGTTTAACAATTCAGTACTACCTTTTTTGCTTAGCTAAACAGCAGAATAGTCTTTAGCTTTTTTTCACTTCATATTCTGTAGCTTTCTAAGATACAGATCTCTAAGCCATAATTAAACACTGCAGAGCAGTGCTTGCTTTTCCTTAGAAGCATGGTTTTAACTCTTTTAAATAGAATAAAAGTTCAGCCCCCATAGAGCAACCAAAACCTCAAACAGTTTAGCCAATTTAAAAGCTTTATAAAACCAAGGAAGGGAAGGGAAGTATTTTAAATTTGGTGACAGTATTTAATCCTCACATACACAGACCTTACAGAAAATAGAAAACAAGGTAATCCATTTCAGACTTATTGCAGTTAATAGTGCTTTTTCAAAACAAAACTTCTTATAGTCATCATGCATACTTTTGCAATTATTTAAAGCTCTTTTATGTATTTACTTCTCAATTGTCACTAAACCTGAACCCTTGACTTACTACTAAGTGGTTCAGTCCTCCAGGTTATGAGTATACATTGCATTACTACTTTCTCTTAACAAACAAAGGCCAAAACTGCCTAAAATGGAAATATAAAAATGTTGTCACTGTATTTATCAGTTTTAAAAATTCCAGGTTTCAAGCAAACTACTTCATAGCAAAGCACTATGCATGACTGTCAAACTTGTGATTAATTAAACACGCATTTTATATAAGGAATTGCCATAACACAAAGTATACAGTATTTTAAGAGTAACTTGATAATTTTCATTCATGATACACTGTCATGCTGTTCTATTTTAGATAATGAGAAGCAAAAGGTGAATCATGCAGTACTGCAAAAAAGTTTCATCACTGAAAACAGTTCAGCTATTTATAAAAAAGGCATTGACATTTTTCTAACGTTTTATTTACCTCATTAGAGGGGGATGCAGGAGATGTGAAAATTGTCTTCCAATAGGACCATACAAACATGACAAATAACAGATGAAAAACCACAAGGTAGACAACTGCAATAAAATACAAATAAGAGTTTGGTGAATATAGCTGAAAAGAACAAGAAATAAAATCCCTGATCTTTGATGAGGGCTAAACTAGTACACCATGGATCACCTGATAAAACTAAGTTATACTAAACCCTCTTCCCTGGGTAGACTTAGCAGTCTAGGAGTGCTCACCAAAAAAAAAAATAAAATAAAATAAAATAAAATAAAAAAATCCCCCGAAGTGATGGTTGCTATTCCTCAAGGAAATAACATGCTTTCATGTACAATTCCAGAATAGACATTGAAGGGAAAAAACTCAAACCAAACAAAAAAAACCATGGAAATGAACACAGCTTCACCTGTGGCAAGTGACTAACCTTTCTAGATAATGAAGATGCTACAATTCCATTGTAGATTATAGTAAAGTATTTGATAACTGACCTACAGAATTCAATTTAATTTCTACTTCTCATAGAAACAGCACAGTATTGTGCCATTGTATAAGGCACTGGTCATCAATGAGAGTAAAAACTCCAAATCAGGAGTTTGTAGAGGACTGCACTCCAAGATAAGAGATGTCTGTGGATTAAAAATTGTCTGGGTATCTTCTTTCCAGTCATCATAGGAATACAGTCTGGAAGAGCCCTGTCACAGTAGCAAGAAAATGTAGGTGGCTTTTGTAGGGAGCTCAATCAGTTTATAAATGGGCCTGTGTGAAATGATTGCCTTAAAGACCAGAGACCCAGGCCTTATGACCCAGGAAGCTTCATTCAATCTTGTTTCCTCTAACAGATTATTTTACTACTTGTCAAGAGGAAACAGATCAGTTGTGCCAGAACAGCAAGCCTTGTAAAAGAAGTCATACTAAATATTTACATTATCTTCACTTATATTATCTTCAGTTGCAGGAAGAAGGAAACTTGACCTACTTTCCCGTACACATAAAGAGAGTCCTTTAAGAAGCCGTATGATACTCTTCATGGATGGCAGAACAGGCTTGAGACTTTGGGAACTTCCAACAGTTAGACAATGCGTGAGCACATGCACAGAAGATGTGGTATTAATTTACTGTCTTTCAGGATTCTCATTGCTTGTTACAGTAAAAAACCCAAACAAACTGTATTTAAGCTTTCTTTAGAGAATTATGCTTTTTACTTTTGCCTCTGACTCTTCCAATCTTATAGACAGATTGGCAAATTTTCAGCTGTGGAGCTGACTGAAAATGCAAGAAGCAAAACCTTTTTCTAAAGGCATCCTAAAATTGTCATCCTGATAGGAAAGAACTCATGTACCACTGTACTAGGCACTGCATAATTAGAAATGGTCTTCTATTAAAAACGTATTATACACATTGAAACAGAATGTGCTTAAGCAATTAAAGCTTGAGAAAACAATCTGGAAAAGAGGAGAAATGGTCTGGAAAAGAGGAGAAACAGACAAAATCGGAGTGGAACCAGCTGCACAGATCAGAGCTTCAGGGGAGAAGAGGGTGAAAGGAGTTGAATAGAAGGAAAGAGGAAATGAGATACAGCGGAGGGCAAGGCACAGAAAAACTAACTTACAAGTAAACAGTTCTATTCTGTCCATAAAAATCACCCCCAGAATTTAAATTCTTTTGAAGGATTATTTTTAGGGCACATACAATACTTCAAACAGCAGAATCTCAAAGTCTCATCACTGTAAATGCCCCAACAACACACCAAATAACAGGCACCAAGGCTGGCTGCAGCAAGTGTATAAGTAGAAAATGGACTTGTGGATCTGCTGTAGTTCCTTCTCTCTTTTCCTTTTTCTGTTCTTAAAAGGTACCCACTGAAAAATATTTGCAAACCTAAATCATAGTTGCGTTACTCACAGGTCTTGTCATCATCCCAAGCCCGTGGTGCTAGAAGCTAAACAGACTCAAGTTCACAGTATTTACCTTGTTTCTTAGCACTAATCTATTCATTACACAGAGCTTACGCATAAAGGAGTACGTTTAAATTCTACACCCCTTAAGACCTGCATGCAACAAAACTATTCACATCTTCAAAAAAATAAAAAAAATATTACCTTTTTCTGCAGTTGAAGAAATAGTAACTGGAAGAGAAAAAAAAGGATACATAGTAAGTAAATCCATATTGTATCAGAAGTTTGGCTAAAGTGAGGTACCAGATAGCTGACTTGTTCCAAAACATACTTCAGGTGTTAGCAGAGCCTCCCTGCCCCCCCCTCCCGGGGTGAAATGGGAGTTAGTATTCCTCCTGCCACTGCTTGAGGCTTGGGGAGCCAGCGTAAGAGCCGAAGGGATGCAGTTCCCTGCACTAACCAAGCGAGCACACTCCTTTTCACAGATATTAATTAGATCATGCTTCATGCATGTTCCCCTTCAGAAATGCACCTAGCAAAGTTTTCTGAGGCATGTCAACAACTAGGCCAACAGGTGTACCCCTGGAAAGCAGAAAATGAAATAAAAGAAGTTCTTACAGAAGTCCCCGTGAAACTGTGTTACATGTAACCTACTTCCCACTCTCAGTTTTTTCCCACCACTTCTCCCTTCCCGTTACATGCTATTTTTGACTTTTTTCCCCTGACCTGAATTCTTCAGGCATAGTTAAATCCTTTCTACTTCCTTCTCGCCTACATCCTCATCTCCTTCTATCCCAACAGCAAATTCTATTGTTCAAATCTACCTTGTACACTGCCTGAGTAGTACATCTTCCTGCCCTCAGGCTTCTCCAAAACCATCACGCTTCATTCATCAGTTCAGGTAAGATGAACAGAGAGCTGCTGTACTTATTGGGTCGCTTTGTTCGTATCACTCCCCTTGCTGGATCTCTCCCTTAGACCCCGAATTCCTGGAATTCAGTCAGGAAAGGATATTTCTCGACTTTTTATCTCCTAGAGCAGATGTAAACTTCTGGTCCATCAGCCTGAGCAAAAGGTTAACAGAGCACGCCCTGCCTGCTGCAGTTTACCTCACTCCACACCGTCTCCTCTCTCTCAGCTCTGACGTTTCTACCGTCGTCAGTCTGTGTGCCAGTTCAAAAGGGGTTTTTGCTGAGGCACACTACAGTCTTAAATCTGCAGGGCTTCAGCATGCGTTGCAGACTTCCTTCTGAAGGGTTACTTTGGTCACAGAGGTGGCATTTGTCACACTTAACTGCAGGTATCTATAGTAAAAAGGTCTGCAACTATATTATGCAGCCATGCCTCTCCTTAGAGTCGAGAAGAGACATAATGAGGTGGTATCTCAATGTATAGATGAGCCCTTTTTGTTCACATGTGGGTTTTGCCTTCCTCCCCCCCCCTTTCCTTAAAATATACACTTGGCACCCTCTATCTGTTCATGGAAGCCTCTATGAAGTTAATGGAAAAGGTTCTGGTTCCTTCCAGCTAAAGAAGGAAGAAATTACCATTTAGGATAGAATAAGGTTGGCTTCAAACTAAAGGAGGTCAATCCTAAAGCATAGCTTAATTTCACATTAGTTACGCATACTTGCATATCCTCCTTCCGTGTTTCTGTCTGAAATGGGGACACGATCCACACAGAAAAACAGACCTGAAGCACACAATTACCTGCAAACTATGCATGTAAATGCAAGAACAGGTCCAGCTGTGTCATGATAGTCTCAGTACTACTTCATTGCACGGTACAGAAGCTGCATTATTTTTAAAGCAAATCCCATGAGTGTTTTTGCTTGAAATTTTACTAATGAGTTATTTCTCCACTTAGAACTTTTTCAACACAAGAAAACAAAATCATTAAAAAGGTGAAAATTAAAACAAGCTTGCTGAGTCAGGTTGTTTACTCAAAAATAATACTGAAAGTACTTTAGATGAAGCTTTGCCTTTGGCTCCTCATATATCTTAAGTAAACACCTTTGCACACAGCTGGACAAACATAGAACCACAGAATCATTTAGGTTGGAAAGAGCCTTTAAGATCATTGAGTCCAACCATTAACCTAGCACTGCGAAGTCCACCACTAAACCACGACCCTAAGCACCACACCTACACGTCTTTTAAACACCTCCAGGGACTCAACACTTCCCTGGGCAGCCTGTTCCAATGCTTGACAACCCTTTCAGTGAAGAAATTTTTCCTAATATCCAATCTAAGCCTCCCCTGGAGCAATTTGTGGCCATTTGCTCTTGTCCTGTTGCCCGCTACCTGGGAGAAGAGACCAACACCCACCTTGCTACAACTTCCTTTCAGGTATTGTAGAGGGTGATAAGGTCTCCCCTCAGCTTCCTCTTCTCCAGACTAAACAACCCCAGTTCACTCAGATGCATGCCATCAGCCTTGTGCTCCAGACCCCTCACCAGCTTCGTTGCCCTTCTCTGGACACGCTCCAGCACGTCAGTGTCTTTCTTGTAGTGAGGCGCCCAAAACTGAGCACAGTATTCGAGGTGCAGCCTCACCAGTGTGGAGTACAGCGGCATGATCACTTCCCTACTCCTCCTGGTCACGCTATTCCTGATACAAGCCAGGATGCCGTTGGCCCTCTTGGCCACCTGCACACACTGCTGGCTCATACTCAGCTGGCTGTTGACCAACATCCCCAGGTCCTTTTTTGCCAGGCAGCTTTCCAGCCTCTTCCCCGAGCCTGTAGCGCTGCATGGGGTTGTTGTGACCCAAGTGCAGGACCCGGCACTTGGCCTTGTTGAACCTCATACAGTTGGCCTCGGCCCATCAAACCAGCCTCTCCAGATCGCTCTGTAGAGCCTTCCTACCCTCAAGCAGAACAACACTCCCACCCAGCTTGGCGTCTTCTGCAAACTTACTAAGGGTGCACTCGATCCCTCATCCAGACCATTGGTAAAGATACTAAACAGAACTGGCCTCAACACTGAGCCCTGGGGACGCTGCTTGTGACTGGCCGCCAGCTGGATTTAACCCCATTCACCACAACTCTTTGGACCCAACCATTCAGTCATTTTTGAGCCCAGCAAAGAGTACGCCTATCCAAGCCATGAACAGCCAGGTTCTCCAGGAGAATGCTGTGGGAAACAGTGTCAAGCAGTGTCAAACATCTAATTCCCTAGACAAGAAATATAAGTTTCCAGTGCAAATATAAACCAGCTTCATTCCTATTCAGCTAATTTTCTTGTAATTACAAGCTAGATGGAAATTACGTCAAAAACCTCAAACCCCAGTATCTGCCAGTTGAGCCAGACTCAAGAGTCATGAGGAAGTCCTGGCTAAGCTAAGGGAATCCAGGATTCTTGGTGCCATGTTGTGACCAAGTCACTTCTCTTTAAAAGGCACTGATTCATATTAGACCATAACTTAAGCCCTCAGGAGGGCAACATCTTAAGACATGCTCTTAGCATCCTCCTAAAATATGCTAGAGCCCTCCTAAGATTTGCCCTTAACACCCTTTTCTGAATCATTTTTAATACCACCTCCAAGACAGAGTCAGATTACAGAGAGGTAGTAATATATAACAGAAATATATTATATTGTTAAGAGTGATTCAGAGTTGACTTTATTCCCCTTTCCTAATGGATATAAATCTAGACAAGAATATGAAATTACAAAGAAACAATTAGCCTTAATGGGGTGAAGAAATTGCCTCTAATTTAATCAAAAGTTGTAATTAAGTACTGGAGTAAAACGATTTGAACACAGTACACCGAAATATGGAGCAAAATATATTTGCCAAGATGCAAATTATTGATTTACATAGCCACGTTACTGGTACTTCAGCCTTTTGACTCTTCTGATGTTATTTTCCTGGCATATAGGGATTAGTTTATAGTTTATATAAAACTTATGATGGCTTTAATTTCAAATGAAAAAAAGACTTCACATCTCATTTTAAGATCAACCTCCATGGTAAAGAAATTAATGCATGCAGGATGCCTGTGACATGCTTTAGAACTGAAGGTGCAAAAAGCATGCAGGTGACAGCTATTAAAAGCCTACCAGTCAAGTTCCAACTATACTGTCAGTCTCGTTAATTAATCAAGCATTTTTCTTCTCTGATAGATTTAAGAGCACCTGCTTCAGTCAGACAGGCACTGCATTTGTATTAAAGCCAGAGATCTGACTATGCAACACCAACATCATTGCTCTGCCAGGCTTCCTTAACCGAGACATGGATCTTGCCTTGCCAGCAGAAACTAGAAAGTAAAACGTACTCATATATAGGTCAACAATAAAGCACAGCAGCAATCTGCAGAGTTTTGTGAAGTTTAGGTGAAGCCCAGCTCCCATCTTGAATGGCTTACAGTTTATTTTGGAGGTTTTCCCACACTTTCACCTCTTCATTAGAAGATAAAAGAAGAGAGATTCCACCAAGATTCCTTCATTTCACAGTGTTCTCCTGGATGTTCCCCACCAGGCAGAAAACTGCTAGATTACCTCCAAACTCTATGCTCTTTTGCAAAAAATATTTAGGAGATGAGAGCCTCTTACCAGTGGTCTCACGCTCTGAAGACAGCCCTCTGTGGATAGTCAAAATGCAAATGTATGCTTAATCTACCACACATGTGCCCCCAGAAGCTGAAATAACTCCCAAACAAATATCCCATCAATCACTTGTATTTCTATAGAAAAAAAAGAAAAGTTTTATAAAAAAACCCCAGTATTTAGAACTTCTGGAATTGAATCATGCTTTAGACTAGTTTTTGTTCACAATTAAAAGAAATGGCAGGCAAGAATGCTGGAACTTTTTTGGTCAGTTTGTATCTTTAAGTACTACCCACTGTGGTATATACTTGCCAAAGCAAATATGAAGACTTAAGTAAAGTTTGTCAAAACGAGCCCTTAACCACTTGACCTGGAAATTTAAAATTATAATGTGCAGCCACCTTTGAAATGGTTGCGTTTTGCACAGTTCTAACCACTCCTAAAGAATGGAGTTCTGAAGAATTTGGTGAGCTGTTTAGAAAATACCAAGCAGTAGAACAGTAATTCTTCCTCTTCCAGAAGTCTTTCGGGTCACAGGGTGTGTTCAGGAATAAGTAGAAAATGGACTTGTGGATCTGCTGTAGTTCCTTCTCTCTTTTCCTTTTTCTGTTCTTAAAAGGTACCCACTGAAAAATATTTGCAAACCTAAATCATAGTTGCGTTACTCACAGGTCTTG